GAGAGGTAACAATGGAAGGTAGCGTCTGCAACAGGGAAGACATTTGATGGTTATCGGATGGTTGGAAGGTGGGCGACGACAAGGTGATGGGGTGGTGATTGTAGCAGAAAAGGTTGCAGTAGAGCGAGGGAAGGATGTGGGGGGGCTCGCCGCAGAAAATGCAATTGCAGGAATGGTTGGAAGTAGGAGAGAGATCATTGGAATGGCTGCTGTCAAGTGAGAGAGCCTGGAAGGGAAGGGCGACTGTCAAAAAATAGTGGAGAGATCGTTTTTCGAGCGACAACATGAAATTTGGTGACAAAAACAACAGAGGAGAGGTTTTGGGGAGAAAGGAAAGAGAGATAAACACCACTTCATGAGTAATTATAGCAGCGCACCTTCTCATATTCGAATGCAACATTTCGAGGGAACATAAGGATGTTGATGGTTGCCCTGATAGAAAAATCAAATAAAATGAGCTAAAATACAACAAATAACATATGTATATACATAAGGTAAAGAGGAGTGGGTTTTGATGTGAATAAAAAAGAAACACATGCTCGGACGATCAAGTAAGTTTCTTCTTTGCCTAGATTGAGCTGGTTCTGGGCGAACATGTGGCAGGTTCCATGTGTCTGGGGCAAGAGATACCCCATGTTAGTGTCCCAAGGTGAGGGAGTATCAACCACTTAAGTTGAAGCTTTTTTTTCATCATATTATGGATTCAAATTTAACACATTGAAGGTAGCCAAAATATTATAATCTCCCAAAAAATCTATCTTGTAGGCATTGTCATTTAACTTCTTGAGGATTCTGAAAGGTTCATCTGCTCTTGGCTTGGGTTTCCTAAGTGATCCTAAGGAAAATCTCTCGTACTTTAATATGATTCATACTTGATCTCCCTTCTGGAAGTTCATTTTCTCTGTAGATTTATTAGCCTGCACCTGGTACTTATGATTATGTTAGGTGATTTCTTTCCAAATCTCTTCATGCTACCTCTAAATTTTTGGTACACTTGCCTCTGCAACCGTACTAGCTTCTATTGTAGGGAGACTAGTACTAACTCAAACCTCATGAGTGGATTGTGTTCATACACAATCTAGAAAGGTGTGTACCCCGTAGTCTAGATCACAAACATGTGTAGATGGTTTCAGCTTGGGCTAGAATCAAATTCCATTACTTAATGTTCTTTCCTATAAAGCACTTTAAGAGGCTTCCCAAACTCATGCTGACCACTTTTGTCTGATCGTCTCTCTATGGATCAGCTGTTGAGCTGAATTGAGGTATAGTAACAAGCTTTCCCCATACGGTATTACGTAAATGATTGAGGAACTTGATGTTCTAATCATATATAATGTTTTTGGGTATCACATGCAGCCTCACGATTTCCCTGAAGTATAACTTAGCGACATGCGTTACATCGAACATTCGATGGCACGACATGAGATGAGCTATTTTTGAGAACATCTCAACCATGATCATCACTAAATCTTTGTTTCGCAACATCCTCAAAAGACCCATCACACAGTTCATACTACATCTAATAAAGGAGTCTTCAGTACCGATAACAATGTGTATAACACTATATTTTGCCCTTGAGTCATGGCTAGGTGCAAACTCAACACTATCGGGCGTACTGCTCCGTGGATCTCCTTAGTTGGGCCAGAAAAAAAGTGTTCCCTCACTAGAACAATTCGTTTAAGTGACCTACAGGTTCCCTGTTATTGTTATTTTGGATGATAGTTTCCCTCAATGAACATCTGGGCACACACAACTTACTCTGGTAGAGCATATATGTGGAACGCCCATGTGAGCCTCTTCTGACAATGTTCTCAATTTCCCTAAAATCCTCATTCACCTCAAACATTTCCTTCACCACCTAAAATCCCACAACTCTAGCACACATGGCGGTAATTAGCAAATGACCACGACTTAAAGCATTTGTTACTTAATTCTGACACCCCATCTCATACTTGGGCACGAGTTTGAACAATGTCAAAAACTCAACCCAAGAAGCATGCATATCCTTCAACTTGCTCTAACTGTTCCAAAACCTCATGATTCATTAATAGAGTGAACTACTTTGTTAGCATTTAGTGGCTCTAATGGCGAAGATATCTCACAATAGTGTAAAACTCATAGTTTCATGCTGAGTTCTCTCTCCAAAACTCATTAAATTTCTCATTGAATAAGGTTAAGAGGTATCCTCCTTGGCTTAATACATATCAAATTCCTGCATTATAATCATCACACTCCACCTTGAACAACATATTGAGTCTGATAAAGCTAACATTGGAGACTGTGTCACCTTCTCCTTAAGGGTTTCAATCTCTGACTTGGTTGTCTCTATCAACTGCAAATTCTCTCCCTTCAAAAGTTCTATCAAGGGAGTGGCAATGGTGCTTCAGCTCCTGATGAGTCATCAGTAGAAGGACACTAACCCTAAAATACTACTGAGTTTACTAAAGGACCCGAGGGTTTCCAACTCACGATCATATCTATCTTTTTAGGGTTTATTAAATAACCAACATTAGATACAATATAACCCAAAAAAAATACCTCTTTTGACATGAAATAACACGAACTTGGAAACCAACCCCAAAAACTGCAAGTGCTTCCTCTCTGAACTATTATAAATGAGGATGTTGTTGAAGTAAACAACCATGAAATTTTTAATATAAAACCAGAACACCTGATTCATTAGCCTCATGAACATGCTAGGTACATTAGACAACCCAAATGACATGAAGGCCCACTGATACAACACATCTCTAGTTTTGATGGAGGTCTTTCATTCATCCCCCAATCTCATTCTATTCTCATTGGTGTCTATTGCACATATCAATCTTGGAAAAAACCACGACTCCATGTAATTGATCTAGTAGGTCATATAGATGAGGGATAAGAAATTGATATTTGATGGTGATTTTATTGAAATTTTGAATATCAATGCCCAACCACACATGAGTCATTTTTCTTGGGTATCATCATTTTTCTTGGGTATCATCATCATAGGAATGACACACAGTTGGTGATCTCTTTCATCAATCCCCTGGTAATGATATCCTACACGTACTGTTGTAACTCATCCTACTCTATTGGCCTTAACTTGTATGTGGGCCTATTTGACAACGTTGATCTTGGTATAAGATTTATGACATGTTGGATATCGCTCAGTGGTGGTAAACCCTCTTAAAGGTTGTCGGTCATCACCCCCTACAACTCAGCTAACAAAGACCAGACAATCTCAAGTGGATACATCTCTTTTTCAGTCCCCTCTAAGGTAGCTAAGGCTAGAGTAACTAAGGCTTCTCAAACTAACAAAAAAAAGGAGCGTGGGACCTCAGGCTTATGCTTGACAGGTGTAGTTGCACCTCCAAAATCCTTGATGGGTTAAGAGAATGATTTCTTTCCCCTCTCTCAAGCAAGCATAAATGTTCTTGAATCTATCGCGCTGCATCTTGTGACTAAACTACCACGATCTCTCAACAAAATGTGACAGGAATCTATGGGCACCACATCGCACCACAATGAATCCTGCAGTTGATCTTAATTGAATAACTCTACTAGGCATTGTTGATCCACTTGTATCTCATTTTCTTTCTTCAACCAAATTGCATAATAGGACTGAGTGTGTTTATGTGTAGTCAAGTCCAACTTTTTCATCATGAAAGTGGGGACAATATTCTGACAGCTTCCTTCGTCAATGATGATGCCGCAAAATTTCCCTCTCATCCTACACTTATTGCTAAAGATACAACACCTCAACTATGAGTGATCCTTTTATGGTTATGTTTGTAGAACTTTTTCTATAACTAGAATTTTCTCTTCATCTCTATAAAGTTGGAAATCCTCAACCTAATCCTCAACTATTTTTTCATCGCTGGCTTCCTCCACAATTTCTTTCTCGGTGAAGGATGCCGCTTGATTCATCAGGCAGCTGGAGGCAACGCGCGTGGCCATATCCGTGGCATCACAAGTATTTATGGGTTGAAATTGTTTCAGGCATATTACTCTTTAAGTTTTTTCTCTACTTTAGGTTGTCTTGTCAGTACCCTATTGAGCCCTTCCCACTTCTCCCGATGTGCTTCTGCTAAGGCCACCTGTTATAGAGGCTATCTGAACTCTGAATTGCAGTAGAAAGGTTGCAGTAGGGTAATGGGAATGTTGTCCTAGGCTCACGATAATATAGATAGTTGTAGGAAGGGTCAACAACAGGTGGGGACTGATTATAAAAACTGACATCATGTTGGAGGGCTTGAAAGGGAAGGGTGATTGCCATAAAATAGCTAAGGAGTCATTTTCTGGGCGGCGACAACAACTTTGTTGACGATAACAGTTGGGAAGGGCTGAGAAGGGGGACACCGGGATACCGACGACTGTTTTAATAGAAAAACCAAGCAAAAACTGAGCTAAAACATATATATATATATATATATATATATAGATATGTACATGCATACACACCCATAGGGTAAAGATGAGTGGACCAAACCAGTCTTGAGCGAACGAGCCACATTTGTTGACCGCCTGGGGCAAATGACTCCCCAAATTAGTATATTATTGTATTAGTTAGTTGTTAATGGGGTGAATGTGATTAGAGGGACGACAATAGCGACGTTGGGGGTTAGTGAGATTGAAGATGTGGCGATAACTAAAGGCCGGGCATCAAGAATTAAACGGTGTGAAAATATGTGCGACTACATAATGCGAATACAATCTCAAGATGAGAGTTAATGATTTTCAGGATGGCTCCTAACCACATTATAAGAGCTGATGACAATGTCTTTGGAGATAGACTCGGGTGAGTTTGACAATACACTTAATAACATCACAAGACTAAGACAATTTTAAAATTTCTCACAAAAATATTTCTAATTACACATTTTTCATGCACAGATTTTGAGCACAGAGAACTGAAAATTTAAATACACAATTAAATTTCCCTAAAAATGTAAACCTCTACATTTTAAATACAAGTTAATCATAATACTGTTATTGAAACAGTCCCCATCATTCCTCTTGCGATGATTTATGATCCAACACTTGGTAAATCAATGCAAGCGTGGTCGTTTTCATCCCTCCAAAGCCCTCACATTTTCCCCGTCAGCTTATCCCCTTCGCCTCTCCGCCCGCCCAAGATCAAGGGAAACATCTGGCGCAAGGAGGCGGCTTTGCGCTATCATGGATCTCTCACTCCTACTTCCCTCCCCTTCCTCTGCTTCTCGCCAGCTCCTCTTTTCCCCCTTTAGTCCAAATCCTCTCCGCGTCCAGTCCCTCAAAATCCCTCGCACTTCCCTCCGCTACCGTTTCCGACTCTCCGCCGTCACAGAGGCGGAGGAGGCAGTTTCCTCCGGCAAGCCCCCAGTGTTCGGCTCCCCAAAGGAGCTAACGGTGCCGCAGAAGTTTGTGGATGCTTTGCCGCCGCCGGCGAGGTTGGCGAGTTATGTTGTGTTTACTGGGGCAGCTCTGGCTGCGGGGTTTGGATTAGGGCTTCGCTTTGGAGGTAGCAAGACTGTGGGGATTGGAGGAGCTGCTGCGCTCGGTGTTGCTGCTGGGGCTGCCGTTTATGCTATCAATTCGACTGTTCCGGAGGTTGCAGCGGTGAATCTGCATAATATTGTGACTGGTTATGATGACCCTACGGAGCTCAAGAAGGAGGAGATTGAAGCCATTGCTGAAAAGTTAGTTGGAGATGTATTGGTATCCATATTCAATTCTAAATATTAGAGATAAAAAAAAAAAAAAAACCGTTTATTGTGTTAGGCGGGCCTGTCATTGGGACCCAAGTTAAGCTAACATCCTAAAAGCTTAAGGCAATTGGTAAGAGCCACTATTATCATATTAAAAATCCAATCTTGTTCAGGGCTAATATGGTATCATTTTTCACTCTCACATTTATCCTAAGAATTTTTCAATCACTTCAGAGTTCTCCACATTATTGGTTACTCTTCTCCAAACATCAAGTCCACCAGGGACTCGCCTAACCAAGAATTTGTTTCAGTTAGTTTTTGCTTTTGATAGAAGGGGAGTCTTTATGTTCGTAGCGTTAAAAATTGTAGTAATTGGAGTATCTTATGTTTCCGTCATTGTAAATTTCTTTCCTCTTGCTTTGCTTGATGGGACAGATATGGAAATCAGACAAGACTTTTTTTTTTTTTTTTTTTTTTTTTTTTTTTTTGGAGATATGGGGAGATATGGTGTCAGCAGACAAGATGAGGCCTTCAGAGAAGAACTGCGTGATTTGTACAGTAGGTATGTCGAAATGGCACTGTCAATTTCCTCTTACATTTGATCGAATATATAGGTCAATTTCGTTATTTATGTATATAACTAGAATACGGGGACTGACTAATTTCATCTTAAATGAACCAAATTATGTGAAAAATTAAATTGGCAAATCTTCTTGCTAATCTTGGCTAGCGGTTTTTTCGAGAATTGCATACTTATCTTTCATTTATTTGTTATTTGAAACCAATGGATGCATGGTAAAGTGTCCAGAAATATCACTATTTACTCATTTGGGTGTATTGATTTTTTAACATTTGCTTGAAGTTTTTTGTTCATCAAATTACTATGCTGTGAAAATATAAGCATCTTGTTTTTCCGTTCATATAAATTTTAATTCACTGATTTTTTGGATTATTTTGTTCAGGTTTGTATCATCCGTTCTCCCATCCGGAGCTGAAAATTTAAAGGGCAACGAGGTTGAGAGAATCATCAAATTCAAAAATGCTCTTGGAATTGATGATCCTGATGCTGCGTCTGTCCACATGGAGGTGTGCTATTTTATTATTTCTACTTCATTAGGATTTATGCCCTCAGGCATTTTGTAAACTAAAAGTTATTTTTTGTAATTTCTTTTTGATTTAAGTGTTTTTTTTTTTTCAAATTTTGTTGGTTATGTAGATTGGAAGGCATATTTTTAGGCAACGTTTGGAAACGGGAGACCGTGAAGCTGATGTAGAGCAGCGTCGCGTGGGTTTCTCTTAGGCCTACTTCAAATGGAATGACATTTAGGGGCTGTTTGGGATCTCTTTTGATTTTTTATTTTTTATTTTGTTTTGTTTATATTTTTTACTTGATATAAAACATGTTTGATATGTTATAATATGTTTAAGTTGTTTTTAAAACTAAACTTTAAGGTGTTTTGAATTTTATTAAAAAACAAACTAATTTGTTTTTGAAGAAAAAAAGGACCAATTAAATATATTTTTTTAAAATAAAAGCATAAAAGCATAAAAAAAGAAAAGAATAAAAAAAATAGAAGTAATCCCAAACAAGCCCTTAGTATTTTAAGATGATTGAGATGCATACTGCCATGTTAGTTATCAGTTTTTTGATCTTCATGCAGGCATTTCAAAAGCTTGTGTATGTTTCCACTCTCGTCTTCGGTGAAGCCTCTAAATTTCTTCTTCCTTGGAAGCGTTTATTCAAAGTCACAGATGCTCAGGTATATGTCTGTTGTTGTTTATCTAGTTGGAAATTCATCTCATTTAGCGATTTTTTTCTCACATGAATGACGAATATGAGACATTTGAAGATGACATAATCTGTAATCATATAGCTGTTATGATCAGTTCCAACAAGATTTGTCCCTGGAATTATAAGAGTATGAGGACTTTAAGAGTGGATAAAAGATATGACAAATCAAGGCAGGATAAGAATATGATCAGGGAAAATGCAGAAACAAACAATGACTTAACCTTGCATTATAGAATGATAAATTAGTGTGCACATATATATATTTTTATGTCTAAAAAAACTAAATAATGGTACAAATTTTGGATCATCATAGTTATCAACCTGTTGATTCATGGCCATATATATTGCATGGCCATGAATCAACATGTTGATGACAATGATGATGCATAAGAACTTTTATCCAAAATTTGTACCATTATTTAGTTTTTTCAGACATAAAATCATTGAAATTGCTCAAATGAGACTTAAAGGAAAGCAACATCAAGAGTAATAAAGGCTTTAAGGATTACCAAATGCCCACATACTCACAACATAGTGATTGAGGGTGTAGTTTCCTACCATGAGGGTGTGGTTTCGAATCACGCATGTTGCCCTTTGAGCTCACCAGAAAAAAAAGGATTACCGAATAATATAACATCAACGGGATATAAAATTCCTAAAAACTTACCATTTATAAATTGCTGTTAGCTTTTTTGGTAAAGTAAAGAAGTACATAATGCAACTATAGTTTGAAAATTATAATCAGAGAGTTACCCCAACTTAAGGGGGCCTACTTGGACAAATATATCACAAGATCTTAAGGTGATATTTGGATTCGTTTTTATTTGAACTGAGTTGAACCCAAAAACCATTGAAAGTTTAGTTTAAATTATTCTATAATTTTAAATATTGTGATAAATTCTAAATTTCTTTTTACCTGAATAGATTGCTAGACACTATTCTTCTCTTCAAATGCTATTAATCATGCAAACGATTATATTATTTTATTGTATCTGAAAACAGGTTTAATGATAGAGCAGAAGATTAAATTACTTTTGTTTGAATGAAGATGGACCTAAACATAGAAGAATGAATATGTTCAACAATTTCAAGTGTTGAATTTAAGTTGTTGTTCTCTTACTTTCCCCAGTAAATTGCATAATATTTTTCCTCTCTTTAAATTTGCTAGGATTCAACCAACTTATAATATTTTTATGTCCAATCCTATAATGTTTTTTGACAAATGTACAAAGATATGTTGTTGGAATCCAATAATGTTGTCGGACCAAAGTACTAAGAGCTAAAGAATCAATCTAAGTTTGTAAGATCTGTTTACTACGTGTCTGTTGACCTCATTTTAGTGAGGTTTTAGTCTCCTACTCCCAAAACCCATAATCTAGCCTTAGGAGTTCCTTGTTGACCATCATAGCGGACTAGTAATGGAGCCCACCTCCCGTAAAACTTCAAACCGCTTCTTTACTCATTTTTGTGAAGAACTCGCATGAGTGGTTCCAAACACTCAACTTTTAGTTGCAAGGGCTAAGGACCAGCATGTAGAGGACCCGAAAATAAGTTCCTACAGGATCATACGATCTTAGGTGAACCCTCGGTGACTCAGCAACACACTCGTTGCACCACACACAATTTTGGCTTAAATTGACTCGCCCTCCGGCAAACTCGTCCGGACGACCCCGGATGACGAAACGGACCGCGCCGACGCGTCCGTAACGTCAATTTTAGCTAGAAAAGACACCCATATTGCTGTGGTTCCACACTCGCGCAAACTGCACGGAAATTGATGCACATTTCTTTTAATTAGCGGGGCACGAGTTTGGGTTCAGCCCGGGCTCAATTCGAGCTCGACCAGGCTGAACACAAGCCAGGATTATTTCAAATTTTAAACTTTTAAAATTCAAATTTTACCGTCTAATTTCATCTTAATTAGATTTGATTCAGAGTTAATTTTTACCTAATATAACTGGGAAAAAATTTGCGTACGTCGACGTACACAGCGCTACCTGCGTCCTCCAATCGGCTCTTGACAAATCAGCAATGTCGGTTGCACCGCATTTATCAAACGCGACCCGTCGACCCGGCCCGCACGATTATAACCGAGTTATAACCGAGTGGTACAAGAGTTGTAACCGAGGGGGTCATTACCGCGGTACCGCTCTAATAACATGCTTGTGACCTCCTTACAGTAACTTCAAGACGAATGAACCGCGTTTATAACCTCGCTGTAACTGAGATCTAACATAGCGCCGTGTAACCTAGCAAAATAAACAAGCTATAACTGATCTATAACCGAGAGTTCATACTGCGCGTTGTAACCTAGAGTTATAACTGAGCTGTAACCGACACAGTAACCTCCGCTGTATGCTGTACCGAGGCTGTGTAACTCCATGGTAATCTCTACACCCCGCCCGACCAATGTACCTTCTGTGTAACGTTTCTGTAACATCCAAAGCAAGGTACCCCGGGTTTGTAACTTGGTTGTAATCTGCGAGAACCCTTCACAATCACGGAGCCGTAAATTAAGTATAACCGCGTGATAATCTTCTTTAAAAAATCAGAGCGCGTGAATGCTGCTATTTAAGCAGTAGAAAACTAGAGTTTACTGTTTTATTACATTTTGATGTTGAAGATGGACCGCACAAGGTGACATTTCGTCTCTGACAGGGAAGGAGACGGTATATTTTCAGCCAACACAGAACAAGTCGATGTTAAACTGGAGGTATATTAGTTGTATGTTTGGAGTTCTGTATTTTTTTAGAGAAACTTCTGTGTTTTTTCTGCCGAGATATCTTTGTTTCTTGGTGTGTTTAGGTCTTTTTTTGGGTGTTTTCGTTGGTGTGTAGCTTGCTGTGTTTTATGGTGATTTTCTGTGTGTTTTGAGGTAGAGATTTTCAATTTTTATTAAAATGTAGTCTTTTTTTAGGGTGATCTTATTTGTTGTATGATTATAAGAATATTGTGGATGTGAATGTCTGTAAAGTTGTGATTTTTGTTTTGTTTGTTGTGATATGCTAATTAGGGTTGTAGGGTAGTTTAATAATAGTTTAATATAGTTTTATATTTGTTTGTAGTTGGATGAGGGTGAAGCTAAATGTAGAGATGAAAGTGCAAATATTTTACTTGAAACGATTGTCCACAATGAAAAAGAAGCTTACGAAGGATATTGTGCTTACGCTCATCATATCGGATTTAGTGTCCGTAAGGAGCACGACACGTTCTGGCCTAACTCCAAGAATCTTAAGACGAAAGACTTTGTTTGTGGGAGAGCAGGTTTCAAGAAAGAGTTGAAGACCACACAAATTGTTAAATACAAAAGAGCAGACACAAGAAGCGGTTGTCCGGCTATGATTCGTTACGCAGTTGATGCTGAAGGCAATTAGACAGTTAAAAAATTCATTGAGTCTCATAACTACTCCTTAGCAAACCCTGGTGATAAGCACTGTTGCGGTCTAGTAGAAAGATAAGCGAAGTGAATGCAGATGTTTTCAAATCGATGACACAGTCAGGAATAAGACCTAGAGGTGCATTTAACTTTCTAGCCAGAGAAGTTGGAGGAGTTGAGAAATTGGAGTGCACCAAGATAGATGCCTTTAATTGCATTCAAAGAGAGAGGAGATGTAGACTTGAAAATGGCGATGCCAATGCTTTATTGCAACTTTTCACAGAGAGACGTGCTAATGATACCATGTTTGAGTGGGACTTCGAAATTGATGAGAGTGGTAGGCTAAAGAGTATTTTTTGGTGTGACGACACTTCCAGACATGATTATGATTGCTTTGGTGATGTTATCATTTTTGATACTAGCTACAAATTAAATAGATATAATTTGTGTTGTGCTCCTTTTGTTGGTGTTAACCACAATTAACAGAATATTCTTTTTGGTGTTAATATGGATGACTGTTTCATTCTCCCTACAAGAACTGCATAAACATCATTTTTCTTATAACGTTGGCCAGCCTTTTTTCGGTGGCTCATAAAATCGGGAGTTGCAAATATAAGAGGAACCAGCTTCAGAATGTTCAAAATGGATTTAGATTTAAGGAATGTTTATGGAATGGAATACCGCAAAGCTGCAATAAACAAAGCTGTAATAATACATTTAATTCCGCCTGTCATGATCAAATCTCTGTGAACAGTTATCTGTAATATGGATTTACATATACATTTAAACTAGCTTGCATTCTCTCTATAAGAACTACTAAGCTAATCAACAACACAAATTTCTCACCACATTATATATAACAACGAAGTATAGGGCAACGAAATGCAATAGCTGCTATACAACAACACAATATCCACATTTTATTTACAACAGTACAATAAACATTTTGAACAGTATAATAAAATTTTTTTTACAACAAACATTTTCTTTACAACAATACAATAGCCACAATATCCACAGCCACATACAACCCCACACACACATCAAATGTTTCACCATGTGTAAATTCTTCCAAAAATCAGCTCCGTCATCAGGTCCGATCGACAAGCTGGCATCAGCAGGATGGCATCAGTTCCAACAATCTGCACAAAGGAAGATAAATAAAACATTAATTGTAAAGCTGAATTGGATGAACAATATTAAATACTGAGCAAACCTAACAGTCAGGAGGACCTAGACGAATATTTAGTGAACAGACAACCTGTCACAGTGACATAAATAATGATATTTAGAAAAATAATTCGTAAATTTATAAATCATGTAAAAGGCACATATGAAGGTCACATACCATATGAGTTCAATCAAAATTGTATATCTTGGCAAACAAAATTCGTATTAGCAGCAATAAATGTTGACCTTTGAAACCTACTGTGATTTCTCCAAAGAAAATTTACAAATGTCGTATACAATCTATGCTCTGTATAAATGCATTAATTCCTGCCAGTCCTTTTTCTCCGCCCAATTTACCTTCTCTTTTCTAACAAGTGTTTCTATATATTTACAAACATAAACACCACAATCATAACTATTAC